GCCCAGGAGTTCAAGACCAGCCTGGGCAATACAGTAAGACCCCCATCGCTACAAAAATTTAAAAAGTACTGGCCAAGTGCAGTGGCTCACGCCTGAAATCCCAGCACTTTGGGAGGCTGAGATGGGCAGATCACCTGAGGTTTGAGACCAACCTGGCCAACCATGGCCAACATGGTGAAACCCCATCTCTACTAAAAATACAAAAATTAGCTGGGTATGTGGACATATGCCTGTAATCTGAGCTACTCAGGTGGCTGAGGCAGGAGAATTGCTTGAATTCAGGAGGTGAGAGTTGCAGTGAGCCAAGACAGCATCACTGCACTCCAGCCTGGGTGACAGATGGAGACAGTGTCTCAAAAAAAACAACAAAACAAAACAAAACAACAACAACAAAAAGACAAGAGAGAAGAACAAAGGACATCAAAACATCTGCCTAAGCCTGAAGGGTCCAGCTAGTCACCCAGACTCTTCCAGAGCTGTTAAGTTTGTTGAATATATTCATATTTATTTGAGGTGGCATGAGGCAGAGGGCATGGCAATGACATCCCTCACTGTGCCTGACTCTTGTGTCACACTGTCCTGTCCAGATGGGTTGCTTTTGCCACGTGGAGTGCAGTTATCCTGTCATCTCCCTCTGCCATCCTCCCAGAGACTCCTGCTGCTTCCTTCCTGCGTTGGGTCTCCATCCCATATAATCTTCTTTGTAATGGACTGCTCCTTTTTGGTGGACTGCATCCATGAGGGGCTTCTTGAGAAACAGTAGATGAGAGGTACAGGAAGAAATAAGAAGTTGAGACCTTGCCCTTGCATGCTTTATTCCATCCTCACACTGGATTGGTATTTTGTTTGGGTATAGGCTTGTTTGTTGGTTTTTGGTTGAAGATAATGTTCCTTCAAAATTTTGAAGTCATTATTTTAGTGTCTTCTATCTTCTAGTGCCAAGAAGCCTGATGCCATTCTATTTTCTGCTCTCTTTTGAAGTCCTGTTTCTTTTTCCAGAAACTTGTAGGAGCTCTTTGTGCTCAGTGTTCTTGATTATGAAACTCATGAGTGGGTCTTGATTTTCATCCATTATCCTGGCACTTGCTGGGCCTTTTCTGCCTCAGAAAAAGTTTTTTGAATTGTTTTGTTGTTGACTTCCTGTTCATTGTTTTACCTATTTTCTTTTTCTCAACCTTCTGTTATTTGGATGTGGACTCTTGAGCTGGTCCTCTCATTTTCTCGTAGTATCATGTTCTTATTTCATGGATACAACAGCTTTCATTTTCTCTCTGAGGATATTAATGGTATTTTAAAAAGTTCTCTTCATCCTCCATAATTTCTGTTTCTTTTAAGTTGCTTTTTTTGTTCTAGTCTTCCACTTTCTTACTAGAGGCTTTTCTTGGGCATCATATAATCTCTGGTTGTATGCTCATAGTTTAGAATAAGGAACTATTGGAAGCTTTGAGCTTCACTATGGTTTTCTAGCTGGGCCATTTGCTGGTGGAACTCCAGTGTCGGAATCTTCAGATCTTTCCCTCCGAGCTTCTCCCAAAGAAGTCTTTGAATATTGTGCCTGGAGAGAGTGAAGTCTGCCTGCGGGATTTCTCAGAGTCCAGCGAGGGAAGAGGGATGGGGAATCTCAGCATTCAGCATTTCGTATGTGTACAGTCCTTTAATCCCGTTTCCAGAACAGTATCCACATTTTCAGAACAGTATCCACAATCTCACCTATGCCAAATGTCCTCTGCTTTATCCTCTCCGGAAACAAAGCTCCAGCCTTCTGCCTGGTAGTGGAGAGTGTTTCCCTGTGGGCAAATAATGGAAGAGGGGATCTAGGGATTTAATTATTTCCTAAACAGTTTTTTCCATACTCCTTAGCTCCTCGTTGCATAGAGACCTTGGCTGCTGCTTCCTGAGCCTTTTGAGGATTCTTTCCGGATAAATTGGTTGGTTCTTCACCTTCCCTCTCCTGGCTTAGATTTTCGCTTTCTAGGATTGTTAAGTTAATTATCTTTCATTCAGTTGCTTTCTGGATTCCACATTGTGTTGCTGTTATCTCTTCCCCTGTCATCTCTGACCTTGTGAGGTTTTGTCTTTAAAAGTCTTCAGCGTAGTTCTAGTCAGGTTTCGCGACGGAACGAAATTAACTGGGCTTGCTCAGTCCATCACCTTAATTCAGACGTCCTTTGACGCACTTTCTTCCGTTGGTTCTGTGACACTGTATTCTCCTGAGTGTTGTCTTATTCACTTGATGCTCTCAACTCAGGTGCCCTTGTGGGGTCCCCTTCCTCTTTCTGCCCTCTCTGTGGTGAAGGGTCACAGCTTCCTTCCGAGCTCCTCTTCTTTAGCTGAATTCACCCTTAATTGGCTTCATTCAGTCCTAGGCCCCAAATACCACCCATATGCTATGCTTCTCAAACTCATATTTCCAGCCTGGCCTTCCTTCTGAATGTAGAATCACTGACTCCGAGTCTTCCCTTGGGTGTCCAGTAAGCATTCCCTTCCCCCAAACCAGTTTCTCCTCCAGTGTTCTTCTGAGTAGAAGGCACCACCGTGTACCAGTTACTCAAGCTAAAAACCTGATGTCATTCCTTGATTCTTCTCTTTCTCCCACATCCAATCCCTCAGAAAATCCTGGAAGCTCTATTTTAAAAATATAGCCCCAATCTGGCCACTTCTCACCACCTTAACCACTATTTTAGATGTTCCCTTAACCAGAGAAGCTTTCTGGGCCACCCTATATAAGGTGGTCCACCCCTTCTAGCACAGCACTCTCATGCTGTCTCTCTCTCTCTTTCTCTCAATCCAACACCACAGAACATATTCTATCTATTTTTTTGCCTTTTTATAGTTGTAACTCTCTTCTCCAACAGTGAAGACCTGGCCCTTCTTATTATCTGAGTGTTTCAGCTAAAAGGGATCTCAGAGGCTGAGGCCTCTGCATTCCAGAAAAGAAACTGAATAAAGAGTCAAGTGAGTAGCCAATTCAAGATGATGCTAAGTAATTTGTACAGAGCTTTTACATTTGAGAATTTTGTAATTCTGGGGATTAAATATGCTGGGGATTAGAGGAGCAATAATGATATGCAACTGTAACTTACTTTTATATGCTCCTTTTATATAATTTATCTGGGGAAATGTTTGTAGGAACTAAAGTTGCCTGGTACTGGTAACTGTATATTAATACTTAATTTGCAGGAGGGGCATGGTGGCTTACGCTTGTAATTCCAGCACTTTGGGAGGCTGAGGTGGGTGGATCACTTGAGGTCAGGGGTTTGAAACCAGCCTGGCCAACATGGTGAAACTCTGTCTTTACTAAAAATACAAAATTAGCCAGGCGTGGTAGCACACGTCTGTAATCCCAGCTACTCGGAGGCTGAGACAGAAGAATTGCTTGAACCTGGAAGGTAGAGTTTGCAGTGAGCTGAGATTGTACCACTGCACTTTAGCCTGGGCGACAGAGCAAGACTCTGTCTCAAAAAAACAGAACAAAACAAAACAAACACCCAAAAACCTAATTTATTGAATAATCAAGATATATTCAATTTTTCTGGACAAAATGTAGAGGCTACTTGGAAGGCTGAGGCGAGAGGATCCCTTAAGTCCAGGAGTCCAAAGTTCAGTGAGCTATGACAGCACCACTGCCTCCAGCCTGGGCAGCAGAGCAAGACCCTGTCTCTTAAAAAAAAGTAAAAAGTGGAGGCTAATGTCTCATCTTAGTTGCATTTTTCTAAGCCTTTTTTCTCAACAGTGACTTTTTCTTGTGCCTATGCCTATACGCCGCTCAAACAAGGAAAAGAGAATTTAGAGAGAAGCAACTTCAAGCCCAGGGACACAGCCCTGGTCCAGTAATGTCCCAACCAGCCTTCCTGGAAATGGCTTCTTCCTTTCCTTCATGTGATCCCACTCTCTGCTCAAATACCCCCCGATCTGCCTGAAAGGATTTCCTGAACTTCTGGCCTGTGACAACAGTGGCCTTGTAGCTTCTCTCAGAGGCTGGAAGTGACTTTTTGTGGTCCCCTTAACACAGCTACTCAAGAATTTCCTCCCTGATTTACTTATTCGTTTTGGCTGACGACCACAGCAACGCTGTGGAATGTTTGATTTATCAAAACAGTAAGTCCAGTCAGCGGGTTGGGGTCTCAGAAAATAAATGCACTCTCTCTGTGGTTCATTTCTTACACTCCCTGCCTTGGTTTGTTGTTGTTGTTTTAAATGCTTCCAGGCGATGTGCCTCTTTCTAATTCACAAGAAGTACCTGCTGGGACTACTGGTTGCCCTGGTAATATAAGATGTGAGTCAGGGAAGAAGTACTGGGAGCAGTGGCTTGGAGTTTAGCTGCTGTGATGGAGAAGAGAGTAGAAAGATGTAAGTGGGGTGCAGCTGGCTGCCATGGCAGCATGGGGAAAGAACCAGGATGCCTCGGGTTATTAGGTTATTATTAACATTTGTTACATGGTTTGCAACGTAAAGCTCTTCGCTATAATCAGTAAAGTCTTCATTATCTAAACAAACAAACAAACAAACAAACAACAGCAATGCTGCTCTGAGAGACCATGTGCCCACACATGGAACATGAGTCCTGCTTCAAGGCCGGTTTGGGGCAACTTGAGAAAATAAACAGCATCTTTTGTGCTGAATAGTAACTAACTTTACATCAACAAAAAATTCCTTGTAGAAATGGAGCTCAAGTTACCAGGCAGTCTCCCAGTGGTGTCACAGATGTTTGAGACAGGTGGTTATAAATATTTGTTGAAATCCCTGTAGGTTTTCATATCCTTACCTATAGAAGTAGATGTTTGCATTTTTGTTAACCTGTTGTCCCTAGAATTCAGCGGTGTGCTGGTCACATATTTTTACATTTTGGATTCACGGAATGACTGTTTGATGAGTAAGATGACTATGTGTCACCTAGGGTTTTTCACTACTAAAGCCTATCTTGGTTTATTTTTTCTTTTCTTGAGCTGAATTCCATGGCTACACTAAAGAATGTGTTTGTGCTGCTTTATTTTTATTAGGGTACCAGAACATCTCGTGAAGAGCATAACTTGGCAGACACTGCAAGCTGTAAATTTTTGCCATAAACACAATGTAAGTCTCATGATCTCTTTTGAAAAGTGAGAAGGCTCCCCTTAAGCTGAGGTGGAGCCTTGTACAAAGTTTATATCACACTTTTGTGGGTAAAATTTTTTATCCAAATCTTCATAAGCCTGATTGGGTAAGTAGAGGCTAAAAATGCCAACCTAGCTATTCCTTCTTGCTCAGGTTATACAAAATATGCATTTTTATGATTTTAAGAAACTAGTGCCAGGCATGGTGGCTCCTGCATGTAATCCCAGCACTTTGGGAGGCCAAGGTAGGCAGATCACTTGAGCCCAGGAGTTCGAGACCAACCTGGACAACATGGCAAAACCCTGTCTCTACAAAAACTAAAAAAAATTAACTGGGTGCGGTGGTGTGTGCCTGTGGTCCCAGTTACTCAGGAGGCTGAGGTGGGAGGATTGCTTGAGCTGGGGAGGTGGAGGCTGCAGTGAGTCAAGATCACATAACTGCACTCCAGCCTGGATGACAGAATGAGACCCTGTCTCAAAACACACACACACACACACACACACACACACCCCAAAAAATTATTCATATATTTATACTGCTTAGAAACTACTCAGATTTAAGGTAGAACCCCATTCACTTGGAGTCTATGTGATCTTGTACTCCCAAAAGGCTGTGAAATTGGGGGAAACCCCAGGTGATTCATGCCTGCTTGGTTGCAGTATGCCAGTTGCAGTAGGTGGAACCCCAAACCCAGTGCAAAGTGCTAGTGTCTGCTTTGGTGAGATAAGAGTGTCAAGTCTGGAACCAAGCAACCCATTGAAAGCCTGTGACACTTCTGGCCACAGGTGGCTGGTAGAGGCATAGTAGACTATTGCCCAGGTGACGTGACTTCACAGAGGCTGGGAAGCCTGCTGCTCCATCCAATACAACACTGCCCACTGCCTGTGCATAGAAACCAGATTTCAAAGTTAGAGCTTCATTTTGACCATGAGTGCAATTTCACTGCAATATTTTATCCTACTCAACTGCCAGGGTCAATTTAGGTGGTAGGGCTAAATCTCCTTCTTTATATTGTTCCAAATGATTTTTCCTGATGCTGCATTCTTGGAAGGAGGAAGTATGAGAGTAGACAGCACTTCTCCCTGAGGGGCCTCCAACTAGCTAAAGCTATAATCCTTGTCATACACAGGGGAGAGTGGACACCCATATTGTTAGTTACTGTGACTTAGCACTCTCTCGAGAGCAGGTTTTAGGATTGGGGAGCAAGAGAGACTGCACTAAGACCCTGGTAGGGCAGATCTGGGATGCTAAAAACAAATATAATACATACCACAGTTCCCTGGAGAGAGCCCCAGACGCCCTGTTTGGCTCCATGTGCTGATGGGGGTGGGTGCAGAAACTTGTAAAGAATTCCCAGAACAGAATAGGAGCACATACTTGCTTACAAGTACTTCTGACCATATGTCATCATGATATTCATGGTGTACCCATTTATAGCAATATGTGAAGCCACTGGTAAAAGAATAGAGATCTCAGGGATGTTAATTGCTAAGAACCAGATAGATTGTAATAAAATCCCAAAGTTGTTTTATTTCAACCCAAATTTTCCAGAATAATAAATACCTATGGGCAAACATTGACACTGATCCCTCATCCTGAAGGTCGTTTGGAGTGAGAACTGGTCATGTCCAAGAAGAACCTGAGTCCTCTCCAGGTTCTTAAGGATAACCTCAGGGTTTCAGGCTGCAGGCCAAAGAGGGTCTCTCAGGTTGCAGAACGATCTAGCATTCTCCTCCTGAGAGGAAAACACTTGGGAAAGAGGAAGATTATTAGGGACCCTGAGCAGTATTTTGACCCAACTTAAAAAAAAAAAAATGTAATTGTTAATTAGGTTGTTGATTTATTCTTTACCAAAGAAATTGTCGTGTAATGAGAAAATCATGTGAAGATTCTCAAACGTTCTTCTCTCTAATATCACCCGGTTAAAGAATGTTGGCTGTGGGCTGGAAACCACAGGTGACTTGAGTCTAAATTCTGGAGGGGGGGCCACATCCTGAGGGGTGGCTGCAGCTCTCAGAGCACTTGTGTGTGGGACAGAGCTGACATCTAGCGACTTTCCCCAGAGGGTGAGGGCTGCTGCCTACTCTTGTTTATCTTGTCAGGATGAATGTCAGAGCTGGAAGGGAGGTCTCTTGGCAAGCTGTGGTTGCCGCCCTTCGCTTCCAGCTTATCTCAGCAGGCTCAGGGCTTGTCCTGTTTACGAGGCCAACTGTATTCTGTTCACAGTTAAACAACTGAATTGTGAATTCTGCTTATGCACCAATGTGCAGCTCCTGCAACCATGATGCAGCCTCACCCGGACCTTTCAACATTTTCCCTTTCACCTAGTACTGTTAGTTTAAACACAGGACACCCAGTTACATTTGAATTTCAGATAAACAAGCATAACTTTTTAGCATAAGTACATCCCAAGTGCTTGATGGTATGTATTATACTAAAAATTATTTGTTTATCTGAAATTCAAATGTAACTGGGTGTCCTGTATTTTTCTTTGCTGAGACTGGCTACCCTACTTTCATTTTCCTTTCACCCTTCTTGGTTCTTTTGGGCCTTTTAGGAATTTGGGATGATTCAGGCTCTGACAGGCTTGGTACTAGATTTATTTTAGGCTGCTCTTTTGCTGTTGTCCAATAGGCCAAGGAGAGATTTAGATGATTTATCCAATATTTGCTAAATAGTCAAGTGTTTCATCTATCTCATATATAGTTCAGCCTTAATATTGTTTTTGTTTTGATTTGTTACACTAGTGCATACATAGAGATGTGAAGCCAGAAAATATCCTCATCACAAAACATTCCGTGATTAAGCTTTGTGACTTTGGATTTGCTCGGCTTTTGAGTGAGTATTGACATTTTCTTTTGTTAAGTATAAAAGATGGAAAAGTTCTTGATACAATAAAGGATTTAAATGCTCTAGAAGTATACAAGCCAGTACTTGTATATTTAGGGCATAAGCATGCCATAAATTATAATTTTGTAATTCCTGAAAATGTGTAGATACATACAGTGGTTTACATATGTATGCTATCCATAAATTATACCACAGTAAAGCGGTTATTAAAAAGTATCTTACCTCCCTGATTTTTACCATTTCTTGCTAAAATAATACTTTTCAGAAGTGCTACTTTAGAATAGCGGCTTTCAACCTTGGAGGCAGATTAGAATCACCTGGGGGAACTTTTTTTTTTTTTTTTGAGACAGGGTCTCACTCTGTTGCCCAGGCTGGAGTACAGTGGCACAGTTCACAGCCCACCACAGCCTCGACCTCCCCAGTTCAGGTGATCCTCCCACCTCAGCCTCCTGAGTAGCTGGGACTACAGGCATGAGCCACCACACCTGGCTAAGTTTTGAATTTTTTTTGTAGAGACAGGGTTTCACCATGTTGCCCAGGCTGGTCTCAAACTCCTGGGCCCAAGCAATCCACCTACCTCGGCCTCCCAAAGTGCTGGGATTACAAGCGTGAGCTGCCGTGCCCAGGGAACTTTAAATTCTACGCCCAATAACACCCCCAGACCCTCCCCCCTTCTGTTTTAACTGGACTGAAGTGTGGCTTGAGCATCAGTAATTAAAATATATATATAAGTGATTTGAATGTGCAGCTAGAATTGAGAACCAGCGATATAGAATAAGGCCACAGGATTGGTGCAGGCTTGACTTCTGAGATCGCCCTCTCCCAGTTTTGATTCCAGCCTTCCGCTGCTCTTTGTTTTCCATGTTCCATCACTGGCCAGCTGGACCGAGTGACTATTATACAGACTATGTGGCTACCAGGTGGTACCGCTCCCCTGAGCTGCTGGTGGGGGACACGCAGTACGGCCCCCCAGTGGATGTTTGGGCAATTGGCTGTGTCTTTGCTGAGCTGCTGTCAGGAGTGCCTCTGTGGCCAGGAAAATCGGATGTGGATCAACTCTATCTGATTAGGAAGACCTTGGGTAAGTGGTGTTTTCGTCCTGCCTTTTGGAAAACTGGGTATTTCCCCAGGCTGGGGCAGGGCAGAGCCAAGTTCCCTGTCTCACCTAATGCCCTTTAAGGCATTAGTTAGGAAAGAGGAAAACTCGAAGCCTCATTTAAATGACTTCATTAAAGGTGGCCATATTTGTTTTAATTAAAAATAGTTAACAATTATTGAGTACTTACTCTTTGTCCAAAAAAACCCAAGATTCTTGAGCAGTTTGGATCAAGTTAAAATGTTAATGACAATAACAACAATAAAAACTCACATTTCTGTAAGGGCTTAGCAGTTTACAGAATGCTTTCATGGTTTACCTCATTTATGACAATTTGTGTCATTCATTTGGATGTCCTTAACCCCAGCCTGCCTGACTAGTTTGGATTATTCAGACTCTACGGAGGATGATTCCCAGCCTTCTAAGTGTCAGGAGGAAGGCTAGTGCTAATGTCACGCAGCCTGTCTTGCTTTCCCGCCCCAGTGCCCTTTCCTTTCTCTCTAACCTCAGAGGCGGAGGGGAAGGGCAGGGGAGGAGAAGGGAGGGAAGGTGAGAGAAAAAAAAAAAAACCCATCAGTATTGATTGCCCTCTTCCAAAGTCAGGGAGTTTAGACATAAACTCCCCTGACTCCCCTGAGTATCCCAGTTTAAAGTAAACTTTTCCTCCTCTAAACCCTTGTAGCAACTGCCATCGCCATGCCTTCCCTTGTAATCTTATCTTCGCAAAGATACTGTAAACTTCCTGATGGTGAGATCATGTCTTATATTTCTACTTACCCTCCACCAGTGTCTGCACATTGTAGGCAATAAATGTTTGTTGATAGCTTGACTTTGTCGAGTGACATGGAAGGTGCTTTGTAGGCCTTCCAGGGGCACTCAGCCTTTCTTGGCTGTGTTTCCTCTAGTGATTTTAGGACAGCCTTCCCATGTCACCCCTCTGGCACTGGAGGAAGAAGGTTATTAAGGTACAAGGAATTGTGCTCATGATGCAGCTCACTGAGATCTGAGGCAAGGCATTAGAGGGTGTGCTTTTTGGTTGCTCACCCAAAATGAGGTGAGGCAGCAGTTTTTGCATCTGAGTGCGAGGTAAATTTCTAGGATGCATCAGTAATTAGATAATTTGATACCCCGGAGTAGGAACTCCCACAGTGCCCTGGGAAATGGGCTTGGTTGTGCCCCAGGAGAACACTTTGAGTATCTCTCTATATTCTCTGAACAAAATCCCTCCAAGTATAATATAGAATTTTACATAAAGGCGATTTTAGCTGATGTGACGGAAATGTGGGCAGGAGGAGCTTCCTAGAGTCCCCTGAAATATAGAAATACTCTTTTTGTTTCATGGTGTCACATTGTAAGTGCTTCTAAACAGTAGATGAAATGGCACTTCCAAGTGATCGCTAATTGGTGAAATAAGAAAAGATGGTCCCAAATGTGGAAATGTATTTCTTCTAGCTAGAAAATCCATGATTCCTTCCCTCCTTTCCTTCCCCTTCCCTGCCTCCCTCCCTCCCTTCCTTCGTACCTTCCTTTCTTCCCTCTCTTCCTTCTTCAAATATTTATTGAGTGCTTGCTGTATGTTAGACACTGTTATAAGTGCTAGGGCAATAACATTTTATCTTGACCTATCAGGATTCAGTTAATAGGATTTTGATTTGTGGTTGTTGCCCTTTTGCTGTTTTTTAAAAGGCATTATTTTATTTGTGTGTATGTGCTTCTGAGTTGTTTGGTTTGGGTTCCTTCAGTACACTGTAGGCTCTGAGAACAAGAACCTGAGAGCAAGAAGCTGTAGCCCTCAGTTTCTGTTGCTTGCCTCCTCTGTGCCTAACACAGTGTGCTGTCCACTGTAGGGATTGATACAGGTTGCTGTGGGTTGCCTGAATGCCTCTCCTTCTGATTGCCCGAGAACACTGCAGTGTCCATAGACATGGGCAAGACCAATACAGCATTGATGGAAGAAAACCATAGATCAGTGTTTGCTAACCAATTTCACTTACCTTTTTTTTTTCTTGTCCAAAGGGGATCTCATTCCTAGGCACCAGCAAGTGTTTAGCACGAATCAGTACTTCAGTGGAGTGAAAATTCCAGACCCTGAAGATATGGTGAGTGACCCATTTTGGAGAGAGCTCTGTAGGCCAGGCTAGCTAGGCTTTGGTCGTTATTCACCTCCCTGAGCCCCATGGCTCACCCTGCATTGGAGGTCAGTCTAAGAGAGAAAAAGAAAATTGGAGCAAATTGGCTAGCGAGACTTTAGCCTCAATGCTAATTTAGAGGCTGTTGATAACAGGGTCCAGCCAGCCTGTTGCACAGGAATGCAGAGCTGCCTGCCAGAGCCACACCTGTCCTTTATCATTTTTTAGCAGTTGAACCTAGGTAGCTCAGACCAACCAACTTTTAGACCTAGACCTATCCAGATAAAATTAACTAGTTTTTCCCCAGCATTGTCCAAATTCCCTATTCTACTATGCCTATGGTCTCCAGACCATGGGAAAAATCATAATGAACTTACTTGGGTTGGGCACAATGGTTCACGCCTGTAATCCTGGCACTTTGTGGAGGCCGAGATGGGCAGATCACCTGAGGTCAGGAGTTCCAGACCAGCCTGGCCAACATGGTGAAACCCTGTCTCTACTAAAATTACAAAAATTAGCTGGGCATGGTGGTACATGCCTGTAATCCCAGCTACTCAGGAGGCTGAGGCAGAACTGCTTGAGCCCAGGAGATGGAGGTTGCAGTGAGCCGATACCACACCACTGTACTCCATCCTGGGCGACACAGCAAGACTCTGTCCAAAAAAAAAAAAAAACCCAACAACTTCCTTAGCCAGTCTTACTCTGGTGCTTGCCCTCTATGGCCAACCCAAATGGGGGAAGTCCATTTTTTAAGAACAGAAAAATTTGAAATGTGTATATCCCTAATCCACTTCCAAAAATTTATTCCTGTGAAACCATTATCCAAGAGCATAAAGATGTGGCATTATTTAATAGAAATTATTTCCTTCGGTATGCTATCAGTAGGGGGTTAAGTATGGTACATCCTTACAATAGAAATACCTCATCAGGCCAGGTGTGCTCATGCCTGTAATCCCAGAATTTTGGGAGCCTGAGGCAGGTAGATCAGGGGCTCAAGACCAGCATGGGCAACACAGCAAAACTGTCTCTACTAAAAATACAAAAAGTTGGCCCAGCATGGTGGCATGCACCTGTAGTCTCAGTTACTCAGGAGGCTGAGGTGAGAGGATCATCTGAGCTCAGGAAGTTGAGGCTACAGTGACCTGAGATTGCTCCACTCTAGCCTGGGTGACAGGAGTAAGACCCTGTCTCCAAAAAAAAAAAAAAAAAAAAGAAAAAAGAAAAAAGAAAAAACAAACAAAAAAATACCATATAGAGTCAGGTGCGGTGTCCCACACCTATAGTTCTAGCAACCCAGGAGACAACTGAGGTGAAAGATGCTTGAGTGCAGGAGGTCAAGACCAGCCTGGACAACATAGCAAGACCCTGTCTCTACAAAATATTTTTAAAACTAACTGGGGTTGGTGGCACATGCCTATAGCTCCAGCTACTTGGGAGGCTGAGGCAGGAGAATCACTTGAGCCCAGAAGTTTGAGGTTACCGTAAACTATGATCATGCCACTGCACTCCAACCTGGGTGACAGAGCAAAACTCTGTCTGTAAAAGTAAGTAATATCATGCAGTGAAAAAAAAAAAAAAAAAAAGACGGTTAGAAAACAGTGTAGGCTGGGCATGGTGGCTCATGCCTGTAATCCCAGCACTTTGGGAGGCCAAGACAGGTGGATCGCTTGAGCCCAGGAGTTCGAGACCAGCCTGGGCAACATGATGAAACCCCGTCTCTACTAAAAATACAAAAATTAGCCAGGCACGGTGGCACACATCTGTAGTCCCAGCTACTTGGGAGGCTGAGGTGGGAAGATGGCTTGACCTTGGGAGGTGGAGGTTGCAGTGAGCCGAGATCATGTCACTGTACTCCAGCCTGGGCAACAGGGCCAGATTCTGTCTCAAAACAAAAATAAAAACAAAACAAACAAAAAAAACAGTATGTGTAATTTGACCAAGTTTTAATAAATATGTAATATGTACACAATGCATATATATATATTTATTTACATATATAAATACACAATAATATGACATCATCTGGGAAATCACAAGCTCTTTTTTGACATTTGTGAAATAAATGGCTGCAAGGATATATATCAAAATACTAACAGCAGGTATCTCTTTTGGGTGGGATTTTGGGGTAACTTTATGATTTTTTATATTTTTGAATGTCTTCTAACGAGTCTGTATTGCAATCAAAAACATTTCAGAGCATAATTAAGGTTTGTGAAATCTTGAGTTTCCACTGTCTGAGGAAGGTATCTTAAAAATGAAACTAACTCTCCAGTTGCTCACTAAACCCTTCAGTTTCCAGATGTAAATTCTGTCTCTACCACTTGTGTTTTATTTGTTCCCTAACCTCTTGGCTTGTCCCACAGTGCTGGTTTCTGCATCTCCATTGCCTCTTCCTCCTGCAGCACTAGCATTCAAAGTGGGTCTTGCTGGGACGGAGGGGCAGGAATGACACCTGACATATGGGAGGTGACCCATCTGGCTTCCTTGTGGTCTGGACATTCCCAGTTCCGTACTAAATATCCTTAGTGATTTCCTGTTCTCTTGTCTGTTGGTGAAGCCTCAGAAGTAACCCAGGTTTCATAAATCTAGAAAGCTTCCCATGGTTTCCCAGAGATTGTCCTGCAGATTTCCTGTTGACAGAAACACAGGAAGAAGCAGTGCGGGGGCTGCACTGGTTGAACATCTGTGCCCCAGTCCCTCTGCCTGTCAGTAACCCTGACAGAGGGAGGCCTGCCTGCTTCTGGGGCTGGGAAACTAGCTCAGCCGGCAGGATGGGCTCCAGCGTATCACAGGCAACCAGTCAGCCTCATCCAGACATTGTTGCTGGGACAGCAGAGCTCGATGATATAGCAATGGCACGTCAATCCCCAGTGATGCTCAGATTCAACCGACAGAAAGAACAAGAGAATTTAAGCTATGGAGCATGAGTGGGAGTATGGGGGTGCAACAGGGAATACTGTCAAGGGCTAATACAAATCTACTTTAGAATTTTTTTTTTCTCCTGTTGAACATAGGGAACTCTAAAACAGAGGCTCTTCTCTCCTACTCTTATCAATGTGTACAATCCAAAATTGGTTATTGGGAGCTGGTTCCTTGTCCAAAATAATACTGTACTGTGAAGGCTGGCCACGGCACCAGGACTGTGTTTGATTAGATGAGCCTGGCCAGTCACTCCAGCCGGCAGCTCACACACTGCCACTTTTATACACACAATGCACTGCAGTCATTTATTTTGCTCAGCTTGGCTGGCTCTTATTTTCTCAGCCTCTCTGCTCAATTAGCCTTTGTCAGCGGTACCTCTCTTTAACTGGCCTGTTTGTCTGCCTGACATTCGGCATTCCTCCCATTTATAGTGTTATTCCTGATTGTCTCCAGCACATGACTGGAGCAAAATAGCCTTACATGGCCAAAAGGAGATTGATGAATGCCCCACAGGAGACTCTTTAAACAGTAGGCTGATAAGGGAAGCAGCAGGCTCTAGTGGGAGACGACGGTGTTTATACCAGAAAATCAAGAAGCATCTGTTCACCTGGGTAGGGGAAAAACATCTATTTTACAGCTCCCTTTATATAATTAGAGCTGCCTTTTTTTTTTTTAAGGCAGGGTCTTGCTCTGTCGCCCATGCTGGAGTGCTGTGGCACATTTATGGCTTACTGCAGCCTCAATCTCCCAAACTCACGCCATCCTCCCACCTCAGCCTCTCAAGTAGCTGGGACTACAGGAGCACACCACCACCCCTGGCTAGTTTGTTGGTACATTTTTTTTTTTTTTATAGAGACAGGGTTTCATGTTGCCCAGGCCGGTCTCAAATTCCTGGGCTCAAGCCATCAGACTTGGCCTCCCTGAGTGGATTATAGGCATGAGCCACTGTACCCAGCCGGCTGCCTTTTTATAAACGCCACTATAAATGCCAAAAATTATTCTCAGGAAAGGCAAGTTATATAAATTGAGGCCAAAAAAAAAAAAAAGAAAAAAGCTGCTCAGAAAGTTTTTTGTTTTTCATTAGTATTTTTATTTATAATTTGCTAAGTGAAGGGAGTGGTTAGGAAGCAAATTTGAAAAAGCATTTTGGAGATGGGGAGAGAAAGCTTGTGAAAAAGGCAAAGGGAGATTGTTTTAGGCAGGAGGTGGGGTGGGCAAAGGGTGGAGGAAGTGAGGAAGGTGCCGGGAAAATGTTTCTATCGAAAGATTTAATTTGAGGTAACCTTAATTTGAATACATGCTGTAAATTAAAAATCTCTTTTCTTTTCAACAGGAACCACTTGAATTGAAATTCCCAAACATCTCTTATCCTGCTCTGGGGCTCCTAAAGGTAAAATCGTGGCTTCCAACAGACCAGGAAGCACACGGCAGTTGTCATCAATTGGGGAATCTGAATTATTTATGTCAATCCATGCAATGAAAAGTGTTCCTTTTAGAATTCTCCTGGCTGTGCTGTGGCTCACACCTGTAATCCTAGCACTCTGGGAGGCTGAGGCAGGCGGATCATTTGAGGTCAGGAGTTCAAAACCAGCCTGGTCAACATGGTGAAACCCCGTCTCTACCAAAAATAAAAAAAATTAGTTGCGCATGGTGGCACTCGCCTGTAATGTCAGCTACTCGGGAGCTGAGGCAGGAGAATCGCTTGAGCCCGGGGAAGCAGGGTTGCAGTGAGTCGAGACTGCACAACTGCACTCCAGCCTGGGCAACAGAGCAAGACTCTGTCTCAAAAAAAAAAAAAAAAAAAAAAATTATCCTTGGAAAAGTATATTTTCAACTTCTAAAATGGATCACATTCTATTAAGTGAAAACATTTGCAAGTATTTTTCACTTTAAACCTAATATTATATTTGAAGTCTAAATTTACACAAAACAGAAATTTCAGAGGGGTGGTGATAGTTTTACAAAGGGAACCTTTTCTTCAGAAAATGCTTAGCTGTAGGATCCTTTTAAATAGCTAACTCCCTGGTACATTTGAAGTACATTTAAAAACTTGATTTTTTTATATATATATATATTTAGAAATATAGCTTTTATGTAAAATGAGTTATGGTATCAACTGTTTGCAAGTTACAGTCAATGTCCCACATGGTTTAAAAATTATTTATTTACTAATGTATTAAATAATGAGTTAATATAAATGATAACTGTTACCTGAAATGGTCCCAATCCAGACCCCAAGAGAGGGTTCTTGGACCTCGCACAAGAAAGAATTCAGGGCGTGTCCACACAGCAAAGTGGAAGCAAATTTATTAACAAAGTAAAGGAACAAAAGAATGGCTACTCTATAGGCAGAGCAGTGCTATGTCCTGCTCAACTGAGTATACTTAGTTATTTCTTGATTATATGCTAAACAAGAGGTGGATTATTCATGAGTTTTCCAGGAGAGGGGCAGGGATTTTCTGGAACTGAGGGTTCCTCCCCTTTTTAGACTATTTAGGGTAACTTCTGGGCATTGCTGTGGTATTTGTAGACTGTCATGGTGCTGGTGAAAGTGTCTTTTAGCATGCTAACACATTATAATTAGTGTATAATGAGCAGTGAGGACAACCAGACATCACTTTCATCGCCATCTTGGTTTTGGCCGGCTTCTTTACTGCATCCTGTTTTATCATCAGGGTCATTGTGACCTGTATTTTGTGCCGACCTGCTATCTCATCCTGTAAGAATGCCAAACCTCCTGGGAATGCAGCCCAGTAGGTCTCAGCCTTATTTTACCCAGCCCCTATTCAAGATGGAGTTGCTCTGGTTTCAACACCTCTGACATAACCAACAAAAATTGAGTCAATTCTTTGGAGTATGTAGTTGTGAAATTTAATCTCTCCAAGAATGAGCTCCATGGCCTACTCAGTGGCAACAAAAATAGTTAACAATGATGTAATATAAAGGCATGTACATTATGCTTCTCCTTATATACATGCTCATATACACTTATAATGCATAAACTATTTCTGGAGGGATACACCAAAAAAAAAAAAAAAGAGTAGCTGATTTTAGAAGGGTGAATGGAACACCTAGAGTGGTGGAGACTTTGCTGTATGAATTGTATTTGTTATCATGTGTAAATATCATTTTTAACATAAAAACACTAGTTTTTACAAAGTACATGCAGGGGACCAAACTAGCTAAATGGATTACCCCATTTGGCCACTGAGGTAAACTCTAAATCTTACTCTCCCAGGGCAGAGTATCAATTGCCTCAAGAACAGAATAAGGTGGAGAAAATGATTTTTCATTACTACTTCTAGAAATTGTTTATTTAATATGTGAGTGCCCATTTAGGAATGACTGGAAGGAACTAAAATCATGACTGGTGTGTTTTTCTGGCTTTCCCCCCTTATTATTGCAACTGAAGAGTTTCATCTTTCAAAGAAGAAAAAAAATGACATTAATAAGTTAATACAATTTTAAAGAAGAAGGAATTTTCTGTTCTTTTAGGGCTGTCTCCACATGGACCCTACTGAGAGACTGACATGTGAACAGCTGTTGCATCACCCATATTTTGAAAACATCAGAGAAATAGAGGATGTGGCAAAAGAACATGACAAACCAACAAGAAAGACCCTAAGAAAGAGCCGAAAGCACCACTGCTTTACAGAAACATCCAAGGTTGTAATTTCAAATGATCTCCTACCTGCCACCCGGTACACAGTGGTATGACTCCACCTAGACTTGAGGATGGCAGTTGTGGCTTTCAGCTCCAGCATCCTCATTCCAGCACTAGGAGACAGGTCACAGGGTCTATCAGCCAGGGCCCCAGGGATATCTGTCTCCTGAAGTCCCCTCTCCCTGAATCCTAAAGGTGCTCTTGTCCTGCTGTCACATAGGGACCAGGGTTTCCGGCCTGCATGAGCACAGGTCTCAACAAGATACATGAGTATGAGTCCAGCTGAACACACTTCCTGTGCTTTGGAAAATGAAATCAGATTTTCCCAGGCAGTTCTGTGTCATCATGTACACCTTCAGTATTAACTAACACTCCAGGTTTGTCCAAAAAAGGAGCGTTTTCCTCCCTGATCCTTTGTCATAGTTGGCTAAGGCAAATACAGTGATGAATGCTTTTGGTGATATCAGCTGAAAACATTTAACCAGAGACCAGCATCCAAACTGCACACTGGGAGTCTGTGAAGAATCCTGATTGGTATAAAATAGCCTTATATTAAGCATCTTGTGATAAGCCAAAAGCTGTAATAATTTAGAATGAACTGTAGTTGGAACCACAACTGATCCTGGGTAACCTCTGGATTTACCTAGGTACTCCTTAAGCTATACATTATCTTGCCTTTGTCTTTCCCTTTGCAGCTTCCACTGCCCAGCATGCTGAATGGTACCAGGGTGTTGTGTGTGAGGCTGGGAGGAGGGAAAAGGGTGAAGAGTCCATGAGGAACAAGTACAACATGAACTCCAGGGCCCTAATGTAGATCACAGTTACAAAATTAATAATGTTTTAATTTTATTCTCCATCATGTATGATCCAGGTGGCAAAACAGGCCAGAAACAGACTCCTCCACCCCCACCCCCGAATTATTCCTTATCTCAGCATTACCTTGTATTCAAGAGCAAAAGGTTTTGATGGAAATATTTCTACTTGAAAACATAGGGAAACTCCACTATTTACTGTATTGCTTTTTTTTTTTGAGACCGAGTCTCACTCTGTCGCCCAGGCTAGAGCGCAGTGGTGTGATCTTGGCTCACCGCAACCTCTGCCTCCCGGGTTCAAGCGTTTCTCCTGCCTCAGCCTCCCCAGTATCTGGGATTACAGGCACGCGCCAGTATGCCCAACTAATTTCTATATTTTTAGTAGAGACGGGGTTTTGCCATGTTGGCACGCTGGTCTCGACTCCTGACCTCAGGTGATCCATCCGCCTTGGCCTTCCAAAGTGCTGGGATTACAGGCATGAGCCACCACACCTGGCCTGGTGTACTGCTTTTAAATCCTGAAAGAATCAACTGATTTAAAAGTACTAAAAAGTCCTTTTCTGAGGAGAATGCCTGAAAAAATTTTTTCTAAAAAGTAAAAGTACTAAAAAGTTCCTTTTTAGGGATACCTAAGGACATACAGTGCAATACAAAAAATACAGGTGTGTTCTGACTTTCATTTGACATTGACAATAAATTCAAACATTTTCAGGAAGCAGTTTTGTCTTTTTTCTTTTTTTTTTTTTTTGAGACGGAGTCTCGCTCTGCCGCCCAGGCTGGGGTGCAGTGGCCGGATCTCAGCTCACTGCAAGCTCCGCCTCCCGGGTTTACGTCATTCTCCTGCCTCAGCCTCCCGAGTAGCTGGGACTACAGGCGCCTGCCACCTCGCCCGGCTAGTTTTTTGTAATTTTTAGTAGAGACGGGGTTTCACCATGTTAGCCAGGATGGTCTCGATCTCCTGACCTCGTGATCCGCCCGTCTCGGCCTCCCAAAGTGCTGGGATTATAAGCTTGAGCCACCGCGCCCGGCCAGTCTTTTTTCTTTAGAGATGGGGGTCTTGTTATGTTGCTCAGGCTGGTCTCCTGGGCTCAAGGGATCCTCCCACCTCAGCCTCCCTCATAGCTGGAACTGCAAGTGTGCACTGTGCCATGCTTGATTTGCCTTTTTAACTAAGGAAAGAGAGTAAGTAGGCAAATTGCCTAGGTGCTCTGGTTATCAGTTTTCTCTGCCATAAGACAAGGCATTGGCTTAAATGATCCCTAAGATCTCAGCAAGCTCTCAACTCCTGTAAATCTGTTTTTTTCCCAATAATGTTAACATGTAGATTCTCCCCTTTTCATATTCTTTAAATCTTCTTTAATGTGCACGTTTTCCTTTTTAACATAAAATAAACATTTAAAAGGAAAAGCAAAGACCAAATTGAAACATTTAATCCTCTCCCAAGTCCTGGATTCTGTGCCAAAAAAGTGTTTCTATACTAAAAAGCTTAATTACCTCTTTTGTGATATATTCTAAATAATGAAAATAAAAAATGCATGGCACAGTTTTGAACCTAATTCTGTGTTTTGCATTTTCAGTTGCAGTACCTACCCCAGCTAACTGGCAGCAGCATCCTTCCAGCTTTGGACAATAAGAAGTATTACTGTAATACCAAGAAACTTAACTACCGTTTTCCAGACATTTAAAGGAGCTAGGAGACATGATTTTTAAAAAGGAATCAATAGATACTTTGCAGAAAATAAAACTTATACAGTTGATCGAAAACAATTACAATGTTGAAAACACACCAGGAGAAAACATAAGCAAGAAACTGGGAGGCCAATTGGCAAGATATGAAGGGAAATTCCAGATCCAGTCTTCCATGCTTGATGATGGTGTCCAGAAAAGAAAGAAAAAACCTGTTTGGAGTTGCACTTGTATTTCAGTTCATGTAAGCAGCCGAGCTTATGGACTGAATATGAACTGTCCCATACCTCTGGCAAAATTAGATGATACCAAAAAGATTTATGCTTCAGTTGCACCACATGCCACACAAGAAAAATGGACTACAAAATGCCCATATATATTTCCTCGGATCTGTTGCCTTGAGTCCTATCTCCTGCCTCTCAGATTGTTTCAGCATCATATTTAAGGAAAGTTCTACTTCTTGAAATCAAAATGTTTAAAATCCCATTTCCTGCTTGCTCTATTTCTTGATTTTTGTATTTTAAAACATTTTGAGAGTAACAGGTTCGAAATATTTAAAAGCGTACGAATTATCACAAAGACTTGGTAATTTATATATTTAATTATATGTTTATACATTTCATCCTTACTTTATCAGTAAAGGATGCACCTTAGTCACTTTTGCAGGCAAGATGAATTTACTGTAATCTGTCTACATTTATTCACCCAATTCCCCTTGCAAACCATGGCATGAAGCCTGGCAGCTGATTAAGGCAGTCAAAGGGTAGAGCAAGATCTACAGGTTTTGCAGGAACTGAACCTGTCAGCCTGAAAATAATTAGTACATCATTCTCTCTGGCACAGCCTTTGACCTGGTACATCTATAGGCAAACCTGTAAGTGATCTGGGTTTCAGAAGAAATTGCTTGTGAGCTTTTCCTTGAGCCATGAAAGACATTATGTTGTAAACTGATGTTTTCCCTGAAACATCTTTTTGCACTGTTTGTATGTTTTGTATGTTTATGTATGTGTATGTATATATATGTGTGTGTGTGTGTATATATATATGCTATTCTAACAACTCATGTATTACACTAAGTAGTCCAAAGTATTATTGAGGACTCATAGCCTTGCACAGTGAGACTTAAAATGATGACATATATATATGTCGATCCTCCCACCTCAGCCTCCCAAGTAGCTGGGACTACAGGCATGTGCCACTATACCTGGCTAATTTTTTTTGTATTTTTTGGTAGAGGCAGGGTTTTGCCATGTTCCCCAGGCTGGTCTTGAACTCCTGGGCTCACATGATCTGAGCGCCTCGGCCTTCCAAAGTGCTGGCATTACAGGCATGAGCCACTGCGCCTGGCCAAAATGACATAATTAGCTTTGATTTGGTCTACTGCTCTTAATCAAAAAGCTTTTTCATCCTTGTTCCCCTGACACAAGGGCAATATGAAGCCTGACGTCTGTTTCTTACAGCTCAACACCATTTCTGGTTGATGTGCTGCCACTATTCCTAGCACTTCTCAGCCATGGTCTTCAAAGTTGAATTTCACTCTATTTTCAAAACAATTCTTCTGTACTCTCATTTTCTTCCTGTTAATTTTCTTCACGATGACATCTGACCCCATTTACTGAAGTAATCCACTGAGGTCTGGTGTGTGTTCAATAATTTTGACTCTAGGCAGTTTAATGATATCCTAAGGCTTCCTAATGTATGTCATTTCTTGCCTAGACCTGATATGGGTTAAATGCTAGTCCCTGAATTATTCAATTCCTGTTAGACAGCCTTGATTCAAATGACAAGGAAGAACATCCAGCTTCCATGAATAGTTAAAATTTCTTTTTTCCTTAACCCAAGAAAATGCACTTGACGGAGGCAGATTACTATAACTGCCTAATAATTCAGCAAGTAGTTTTACCAAAAACCATTCAGAATAGAAAAGTAGTTCTAGACTAAATCGTGGTGAATCAGTTGTCTCACCATACAGTAATGAAACAAACCTGAGAAAAAAAGGCTTATTTTTCTCTAATGAGTTCCATTACATTTATGCTTATGTTCAATTTAATCATATTTATAATCCTTTTATTCAGCATGAAATCTCCACTGTATCACATGACACTCTTCCACATCCTTTTATTTACTATTTTCTGATTTTTAAAATGACAGCGGCAATTACCATTTATACTATGTGCTATTTGTATAAGCTGGTTTTTAAACACAACGAAAATTCATTTTTCTACCTGAAAACTGTATCATTGAAAGTGTTTATTTGAAAATTATTTTCAAGTTTATATTCAACAGCTCAATAATGTTCAAACCAGGTTGGGCACGGTGGCTCACGCTTATAATCCCAGCACTTTGAGAGGCTGAGGAGGTTGGATCCTGAGGTTAGGAGTTCAAGACCAGTCTGGCCAAGATGGTGAAACCCTGTCTCTACTAAAAATACAAAAATTAGCTGGGCGTGGTGGCGGGTGCCTGTAATCCCAGCTACCTGGGAGGCCGAAGCCAGATAATTGCTTGAACCTGGGAGGCAGAGGTTGCAGTGAGCCGAGATCACACCACTGCACTCCAGCCTGGGCAAGAGAGCAAGACTCTCTCAATAATAAATAAATCAATAAAAAAAACCCCCCTGCCTTGACTTTTTTTTTTTTTTTTTTGAGATAGGGTTTTAATCTGTTGCCCAGGCTGGAGTGCTGGAGTGCAGTGGTGCCAACATGGCTCACTGCAGCCTTCACTTCCCAGGCTCAAATGATCCTCCTACCTCAGACTCCTGAGTAGTTGAGACTACAGGAATGTGCCACTATACCTGGCTATTTATTTTTTAATTTTTTGGTAGAGACAGGGTTTTGCCACGTTGCCCAGGCTCGTCCTGAACTCCTGGACTCAAATGATCTGCCTGTCTTGGCCTTCAAAAGTGCTGGGATTACAGGCCAGCCTTTTTTTTTTTTTTTTTTAAGAGACAGGGTCTCTGTCTTTCACCCAGGCTACCACGCTGGTGTTCAGTGGCCGTGATCATAGCTTACTGCAGCCTCAAACTCCTGAGCTCAAGCGATCCTACCACCTCAACCTCCCAAGTATCTGAGATTACAGGTGTACACCACCACGCCTGGCTAATTTTTAAAATTTTTTATAGAGATGGGGTCTCTCTGTGTTGCCCAAATTGGTCTCAAACTCCTGGTCTCAAGTGATCCTCCCACCTCAGCCTCCCAAAGCACTGGGATTACAGGCATGAGCCACGGCACCCAGCCTAAAGCAGTTTTAAGTTTTAAGAAAAACCTAAGCATAGCCTACTGGTTTTTATTATTGTTTCCTTTATTATATTGCAATCTGCAAAACTATTTGTATTCAGCCAAGTATCTGTCCAGTTTTAATAAAATAGTAGCCTAAGCTTACAAAATAGACAAATTAAGCAGCAACTGTTGATTCTGAGAAAGTCTGTATGCTATCAAGAACACCAGAATGCAGGATCATGGGAAATGCATGCAAATCCGGGGAAGCAATATGAAATGCATGCTTCAACAACCATTGACCACTATGCATAATTGACGCCATCAATGAATCTGTAATTTAGCTTCTAATTTTTCATAATTGTGCATTTATGGTAGTATGCTTCACTAACTTTAAAGTTAAATTTAATGTAAATTACTAATAAAAACATCTGTTGTACAAATAACTTTAAAGGATTCTAAATAAATATCTACATCAAGAGATATCTATAGATTTACATATTAAATGAATATATTAGAATTAAAATGTTACCTACTTTGCATTTTTCTTTTTCTTTTTTCTTTTTTTTTTTTTTTGAGACAGAGTCTCGCTCTGTCGCCCAGGATAGAGTGCAGTGGCGCAATTGCGGGTCACTGCAACCTCCACCTCCCAAGTCAAGTAATTATCCTGCCTCAGCCTCCAGAGTAGCTGGGATTACAAACGTGGACCACCACACCCAGCTAATTTTGTATTTTTAGTAGAGACGGGGTTTCACCATGTTGGCCATGGTTGGTCTCGAACTCCTGACCTCAGGTGATCTGCCCACTTTGGCCTCTCAAAGTGCTGGGATTATGGGCATGAGCCACCGCGCCCGGCTGCACTTTTCTTAAAATGAATTAATGTACATAAATTCTCACTTCCAACTTAGTAACATTAGTGAGTCACGTCTGAATATTCATTTTCTAAATATGATGCACTCTCCACTTCTAAAATGTCATGATATGGCATCCTTATAATTCTACTGATGACTATATAATATTAGTTGATGTTTAGAATCAACAGTTTCAAATGATCCTTTATACTGAAATAAGACACATTATTTTACTTCAATTGTAATTTTAGTTCCAGAGAGGGCAGTGCTGTCTCAAAGACTTGGATAAGATTTTCTTTTTCTCTTACTCCGGGAAGATCACTTAACAACAAATATTTGAGGTTTCTGCAAATAAAGAAAAAAGTCACTTCAATTTAGCCAAGAGCATTAAAAATAAACTCAATTTACTGGCTTAAAGAAAGAAAATTACATAGAAAATTAATCTATATCACCCTATGCTTTCAAAATGACTTTTAGAGCAGTAGCCTTAGAGATGAAATTCATGCCAGGAAGTAACACAGACCTTAGGTTATGTCAATATTTCTAGCTGAATCATTCTAAATAAAATATATATTTATAATGATGTAGATATCCTTTGCATGTGAAACATGAAATGTGAATCTCAACCCCAAAAGGGCAAAAACTGGGAAAATTCTTAAAGATACTCGAGTTTCTACTAAAAGATGAAGCTCTGAAGCCTCAAGTAATGTAAGAGATGGACAATCTACTACTTGTGGTCCTAATGTTTAAAATTTCTCAAACTTCCTGTGATACTGAGGTTACTGGTAGATCCATTTTATATTAAAGCAGAACTACACTAATTAGATTTATAATTTGAATGTTGGGATCTCTAACACAGAGATTCGATTAAACAAACTTCTATTCTTTTTTCATCACGCTGATAAGACTCAGAACTTTACAATTTTAGAGTTAAACATTCCTTGCTAGTATTATCTGTTTTTGCATTTGGAATTAGGTGAGTTGCTCCAGGCCATGGCATGGGTCTGGTTGGTGGCACAAGAGGATGTAGAAAAGCTTTCCTAACCAGTGAATGCGTGCTTTTGATGATTATTATAGTGTCAGGCAGTGTTCTAGGCTCTAAACACAGAAAGGTGAATACTTCAAGGTTTTTTCCCCTCAACCAACATAATTACAAGGTAAAATGCTAATAGGTATATACTAAATATCCTGAAAATATCAAAAACATAGGGGAAATTGCTTTAAAAAAAAAAAGGAGAGAAAGCATAATCGTTGAAGCTTACTGAGGGCTTACTGTGACAGGCATCGTGCTAGGTGCTTAATGTAGATTTAATTTTTAAAAACATATCCTATAAAAAATTCAATAAAACATTAATGTATTAAGATTGATCATTTTAGCTCTTTTAAAGTATTACAGATGGAAGTGAAGTCATTTTTTAAAATTATCTTTTTCAGAACTAAAAATAGACACCAGCCCTCACAGTCAGTTAAATTCTACCTATTCACCTTAACAGCATTATCAAGTTTCCACTTTGGCTTTGATCATCTACCTTAAATGACGCAAAGCAATGATGCCTTTGTCTGTGATATTCCCACAGGATATTATTTCCATTTCCAATATGCTTTTTTGTAAATTTTCAAGTTGACCAAGTCTCAGCAAACAGTCATCCTCGATATAATGACACTTGCACAGCCTTATTTTTTCAACATGCTGTAGGCCCACTGGGGAGAAAAAGTACAGATTAAGAATCTGCTTTACCACTAAGATAACAAACTGTCCCCTGGTTTGCCCAGGACTGACTTGGTTTTAGGACTGAAAGTCCTGTGTCCTGGGAAACCTCTTAATCCCATGAAAACTGGAATGATTGCTCACCCTATTAGCCATATAAGGAATTCACTACAGAGTTTGTGCTGATGGACGGGGCCATTCTACAGTCAGATGCCCACACACTGGAGGAAAGAAATGCCCACATAGGGCCAGGCCCGGTGGCTCATACCTGTAATCCCAGCACTTTGGGAGTCTGAGGCGGGTGAATCACCTGAGGTCACGAATTCAAGACCAGCCTGGGCCGGGCGCGGTGGCTCACGTCTGTAATCCCAGCACTTTGGGAGGCCGAGGCGGGTGGATCATGAGGTCAGGAGTTCGAGACCATCCTGGCTAACATGGTGAAACCCCGTCTCTACTAAAATTACAAAAAATTAACAAAAATATTAGCCAGTGCGTGTTGCGTGCGCCTGTAGTCCCAGCTACTTGGGAAGCTGAGGCAGGAGAATGGCGTGAACCCAGGAGCGGAGGCGGACTTGCAGTGAGCCGAGGATTGTGCCACTGCACTCCAGCCTGGCGCGACAGGAGCAAGAACTCCGTCTCAAAAAAAAAAAAAAAAAAAGACCAGCCTGGGCCAACATGGCAAACCCGTTCCTCTACTAAAATAGAAAAATCAGCCTGGCGTTGGTAGTGCCACTCTGTAGTCTCAAGTACTTTGGGAGGCTGAGGCAAGGGGAAATCCACGCCTGAACCCAGGAGGCAGACGGTTGCAGGTGGCCAAATCGCGCACTGGCACTTCTAGGCCTGCGATAGCCTTGGTGACAGAGTGAGACTCGTGTCTCAAAAAAAAAAAAAAAGAGGGCCAGGTGCAGTGGCTCACGCCTGTAGTCTAGTACTTTAGGAGGCCAAGGTGGGCGGATCACGAGTCAAGAGATGGAGACCCATCCTGAGCTAACATGGTGAACACCCCATTCTCTTCTAAAAATACAAAAAAACAAAATTAGCCGGATGGTGGCGGGCGCCTGTAGTCCCAGCTACTCAGGAGGCTGAGGTGGGAGAATGGCATGAACCTGGGAGGCGGAGCTTGCAGTGAGTCGAGATAGTGCCACTGCACTCCAGCCTGGCCAACAGAGCAAGACTCTATCTCAAAAAAAAAAAAAAAGAAAAGAAAGAAAAAAAATGCCCACGTAAGCAGAAGCTGTGTGGATATAATTATTCCTGCATTACTGAGGGCTTCTCAATGACAGAAGTTTGACAAAGATAGTTTGACAAACAAGGCCCTGAATTTTAAGTCAATAAACCAAAGACTAGAGACATAGAGAAACAAGCTTAGTGAGAGGAGGAAGGAGAGGAAGGTGTCTGTAACCTCAATTTAATTTGAAAATAAATATCAAACCCAGGAAGAAATAAACTTGACTGTACTGAAATGGGCAAAAAGGACATACCTATGACTATAATTGTGAGTCAACTGCAACAAAATGGTCACTGCAAAATCATCTGCATTTCCTATTAGCAAAATGATAGGGTAGTTACCCAAGTGATCAAATCCAATGCTCATGATACAAGAGTTGCTGGCGTCGATCGCCTGAATCTTGTATTTGTCCAGAGGGCCTGTTGGAAGGTGGTTGTAATCCGTCTGCCACCTCTCCTGGCCATGGTAGCGCACCATGGCCCCACAGCGCAGCAACCACTCGGATGCTGCCCTGTCAGGGCCAACATCCCTGATGCGATCATAATCCACCCTGTTGGCAAGTGAAAAAAAACAGTTTGCTTTTACAATAATAACTAGCTTGTTAACTATATTAACTGACATAAATAATACAGAACACAACAAATTTTAATTTCAAGTGACTGAGGAGGAAGATAAATGTATTAGTGAGATCCATGCAAAAACCAAAAACAAAACCAAAAAAAAACCTGTAGTCTATCTGCTTTTTTAGTTTAGTTTTTGTTTCCAAGTGAACACTGTCAATGCATATTATTTTTATATGAATTTATCAGACACAACTTTTCATTGATTCACATATAGTAGAGTGCTTGATACCAGAGATATTTAGTAACTATTCTACGAATGACTATACTTGGTTAGAATTTGTATTAATAACAAAAGATTAAAGAGAAAATAATTCTGAATCTGTATTCAAATTAATCTCATTAAGTGATATTTATTAACTTCTACATGTGCTTTTTTCACAAGCTAGGGATGATAATGCTGTATTAAGTAATCAGAAGGAGGTTAGTTTCATCAGCTTCAAAATGCTATTTTTTTCTCTCTTTTTTTTTTAGATGGACTCTCATACTCTCACCCAGGCTGGAGTGCAGTGGCGCACTCTCGGCTCACTGCAAGCTCCACCTCCCGGGTTCACATCACTCTCCTGCCTCAGGCTCCCGAGTAGCTGGGACTACAGGTGCCCACCACCACACCCGGCTAATTTTTTGTATTTTTAGTGGATACAGGGTTTCACGGTGTTAGCCAGGATGGTCTCGATCTCCTGACCTCGTGATCCGCCTGCCTCAGCCTCCCAAAGTGCTGGGATTACAGGCGTGAGCCACCGTGCCTTGCTCAAAATGTTATTTCTAAGTGTGCCACCCACTAATTTTGTGAAAACTTGAGTTACTTTGATAGAATTCAAAAGGTTAACTACATTCCTTTAAAAAGCCATAAAAATAAAATATTTTAAAATTATAATGTTTTTCTGATTATAAAATAAATGTTTATTTTAGAAAACTTGAAATGTATCAAAAGGACAGATAAGTAAGAAAAATCACTGAAATCCTGCAACCCAAACAGCCACAGTTAATATTTTGTAATCCATTTTTCTGGTGTTTTTTCCATGTTTGTGTGGGTTTTGTTTGTAAACAAAATTAGGATCACACTGCACAAATTGTTAAAATAATATTTGAAATATGAGAAAGAGCCAAACGAGCTACTGGGAACTTATTTTGCCATAACCATCTCCACATTTCTTCACTTTATTTAGAGTCACTTACTTATTAAACACTGCATTCAACCAGCCCCAGAAGTATCTGGAATCACATGACCATGGGAGTTTCTTTATGCCACACAACTGCTGGGAAACTTTTCCAAAGAGCATTATTTGATCTAGACACACAAAATAGTACTTACATTAGATCATCATCAGAGTCCCATACATATAGCAACTTACTTCACAACCTCAGAGTCAATGCTCTTGTACTGATAAAGCTGATGACTCACTTGCCACTCAACAATTATTGTGCAAGTCACTCCTGTTTCTTGTTCTTGGGGTTTTTTTATTTGTTTGCTGCAAAAAAAAAAATGAGGGGTTGGACTGGATGGTGTCTAAGGTTCCTTCCGGCTTGAACATTAAGTTCCACTGTTGAAACCTCAATTGGAGTCTGTCTGTCGTACTGCCATCTAGTGTCCATTCAGGCGCTGTAGCTATGAATTTGCTGAAGCTGGCTCTACTCCCCATCTATATTTCTAGTATCAAAATGACACACTAAAATCACCGAAAGAGCAACGTGTCGAGGTTGAGATGCTTGCATCCAGGAAAGAAGAGGAGACATGAAAATAGATCTACCTATGACAAGGCTGCAAGTGCTGTTACCAGAGCAGTGTAAACAAAAAAACTAAGGGCAGCTGGGAAAGACTGGGCAAATAACTTCACCTCTCTGACCTCTGGTTTTCTCATTTGTAAAATGAGATGATTTGCTTAGATAATTTCCAGCTGTCAAAATCTATAACCATAATTTGAGAACATGATTCCTGGAGTAGGTTTCGATTTGATTTACCTTACTTCAAGTTTCCTTAGTAGTGTGCTAGGTGTGTGCAGGGGACTGGGTGCGGCGGGGAGTAGGGGGATGGGGAGACAAAGATAAATGAAACATGGTGTTTGCTTTGAGCATCTGACAGTGTAATGCAGGATGGAGTGGGCTAAGACATGTTACCAAGTAGTTAAGAGTGACAGAACTTGATAAATGCCTGAAAATAGTTAAAATAAGGACAGAAAGGATTTCAACAAAGGTGCCAGGAAAAATTATGCCAGATTAGCTGAAGCAGGAACATTTAAGGCATGTTATTTTCAGTTTCACTAGCACATGTGAGTCATGAGAAGAGGCAGACAACTTGCAGTCAGGTCATGAAGGGTTTTGCATGCTTAGCCAGGGAATTTGGACTGTATTCTGTAGGCAGCGGAGAGTCACCAAGGTTTCTGAACAAAGCACTGGCCTTTGGGAGGCCGAGGCAGGCTGATCACGAGGCCAGGATATCGAGACCATCCTGGCTAACACGGTGAAACCCCATGTCTACTAAAATCCAAAAAAAAAAAAAATTAGCCGGGCATGGTGGCATGCACCTGTAGTCCCAGCTACTTGGAGGTTGAGGCAGGAGAATCACTTGAACCCGGGAGGTGGAGGTTGCAGTGAGCTGAGACTGCACCACACCACACTCCAGTTTGGGCAACAGAGCGAGACTCCGTCTCAAAAATAAATAAATAAATAAATAAATAAATAAATAAATAAATAAATAAATAAAACAAAGCATTGGCATTGTTACAGTTGTGCTTCAAGAAATTTACTCAGACAGTAGCATCAAGATGAAGGGTCAACAGAATGGGACAGCCAGCCAGCAAGGGCTTCAATCACATGAGGCCATAGGACAGGGCCTAGTTGGGGAAGGATGGGAATGACATTACAGAGTTGGTTCCATATGACTTAGTTAAGAGAGATGTAGGGGCATGGGTTGCAGGAGTTGAAAATGACACCAGGTTTTGGCCCTGAGTCACTAGTAGTAGGATGGTGATGCCATTAAAAGAAATCACATCAGGAGGACAGGGTTATAGGTTCAGATTTTTTTCTTCTAGTTTTTCATAATCTACATATTAAGTGTTAGCAGGATTTCTAAGTGCAGATGACGAAAAATCATTGGAATCAGAGGTCACAAAATGTTAGCCCTATAAGGAATTTAGATCACCTGGATGAAATCTCTCATTTAGAGGTAAGGAAACTGAAGCCCTGATGTTAAGTAACTTCCTGACACCCTAAATCCTTTCTTGAACAAGGTGGGGTATTAATAAATGCTGTGTTTAAAGGGACTTGCTCAATGTTTCATGACTAATTGGTGGTAGTGTTGAAACTTGAACCCAGTTCTCTACCAGCCCAGGGTCCTTTCCTCAATCATTACAAGGTTCTAGAATTCAAGAGAAAGAAGAGGGCTAGAAAGATGCCTGAGTGGGAAACACCTTAGAGCTGAGGAAGTGATTGAGGATGCTGAGGCTGTGGAACAGTGAGAGATGTGAACTGAAGACAGAACCAACTACCCTTTTCACCTCTTTTCCACCATAGCCGTCTTCATTACTGCAAACCTCTGCTCCACTACCTCTTATCATGTTCTCAACCCTTTCCAGCTTTTTGTTAAAGCTCTCTCTGTCTGTGCCCACCTCGAATAACTCTATTAGTTGTCAATCTTATTTATAAATAACGGCTTTCCCAGTTTCTACTCAGGCTGTTTTCTCTTAAGCCTCCCTCCCCCATCACCATCAATCTGTGGAAATCTCACCCAATTTCAAGACCTTACTCAAATGCCATGTCCATTCATTCATTCATTCATTCACTCAAAAAATGTTTACTGAATGTCTGCTATACTTAGTGCAAAGGCAACAATGGTAAGACAAAACAAACAAAAATAAGAACAAAGGAGAAAGAGACACACAGAAAGACAAGGTTCCTGACCTCATAGAATGTATAATTTAATACAGACAGATGACATAAAGAGATAAATAACACCCAACGTGGTTGGCTAGTAGAGGTGTGAACAAATGCCATGAGAACCTAGAGAAGGGAGTGAGAAGAAGGCTTCACACCAGAGGTGTCTTTTGAAATGGGTCTTGATGATTAAGAGTTTTCAGTTAGTCTAAAAGCAGAAGCAGAATATGCAAAAAAAAAAAAAAAAAAAAAATCCAGTTAGAACGAAAACAGAGTATGCAAAGTAAAAGAAAGAGCAAGGATGGCATCTCATTCATTTCAATTTTTCTCAGCATAATGCAAAAGTTTAATAAATATTTGTTTATTAATAGTCTTAAACGGTTGACATGTTTCCATGGAGAAAGGTAAAACCAGTTAAACTGTTATTAAGCAGGTGAATTAGAGTGATCTTTGAAAACTGACTACTTTTGCTTGATTCATTTTGACCCATCTTATAATTTAGCTTAAACGAAAGGCCAAATTTACTTCAGCTGTAATCTCTAAAAACACAAGATACTAGATTTAAAATATTTTAAACATAAAAATTAAATTTATATTTGGCAATAGAGTTAACAAAAATTGGTAGGTTTTTACATTCTCAACTGCAACTTTGCTAATGATTTTGCAAATTATTCCTACTTGAGTCCAAGCAGTTGCCTTTGGGAACACTTTCTAAAGGGAAAGAGGAGACCTCTAGTGGTAAGTTAGTGAATCTAGCTCTAATAAATTAAAAGTACCCAGTTAAATGCAAATTAGAAAATAACCACTACTAAATTACTGCTGCCATAGATAATCCACCATGATTAAGTGGGTTTCGTACCAGGGATGCGCAAATGGCTTAACATACACAAGTCAATAAACGTTATACGCCACATAAACACAATTAAAAACAAAAATCACATGATCATCTCAATAGATGCAGAAAAAGCATTTCACAAAATCCAGCATCCCTTTGTGATTAAAATCCTCAGCAAAACTGGCATACAAGGGTATGCCAAAGTAATAAAAGCCATATATGACAAACCCACAGCCAACATAATATGAACAGGGAAAGTTTAAAGCACTCCCTTCAAGAACTGGAACAAGATAAAGATGCCGACTCTCACCACCCCCCTTTCTTTTTGTTTTTTTGAGATGGTGTTTCACTCTTGTCGCCCAGACTGGAGTGCAATGGCACGACCTCAGCTGACTGCAACTTCTGCCTCCTGGCTTCAAGTGATTGTCGTGCCTCAGCCTTCCAAGTAGCTGGGATTACAGACACCCACTACCACATCCGGCTAATTTTTTGTATTTTTAGTAGAGATGGGGTTTCACCATGTTGGCCAGGCTGGTCTTGAACTCCTGACCTGAGGTGATCCACTCCCCTTGGCCTCCCAAAGTGCTGGGATTACAGGTGTGAGCCACCACACCCAGCCTCATTCTCATCACTTCTATTCAACATAATACTGGAAGTCCTAGACAGAGCAATCAGACAAGAGAAGAAAGAAAAGGCATCCAAATGGGTAAAGAGGAAGTCAAACTGTTGCTGTCTGCTAATGATATGATTGTATACCTAGAAAACCCTAAAGACTCCTCCAGAAAGCTCCTAGAACCAATAAATGAATTCAGCAAAGTTTCAGGATACAAAATTAATGTACAAAACTAGTACCTTTCCTATATACCAACAGTGACCAAGCTGAGAATCAAATCAAGAAACTCAACCCCTTTTATAATAGCTGCAAAAATAAATAAATAAATGCTTAGGAATATGCCTAACCAAGGAGGTGAAAGACCTCTAAAAGGAAAACTACAAAACACTGCTGAAAGAAATCACGACACAAACAAATGGAAACACATCCCATGCTCATGGATGGGTAGAGTTAATATTGTGAAAATGATCATACTGCCAAAAGCAATCTACAAATTGCTTCGAGTTCACTGCAGATTCTGGATATTGGTCTTCCCATCAATACAATCCCCATAAAAATACCATCATTCTTCAGAGAACTAGAAAAAATAATCCTAAAATTCATATGGAACCAAAAAACAGCCCACATAGCCAAAGCAAGACTAAGCAAAAAGATAAATCTGGAGGCATGACATTACCTATTTCAAACTATACCATAAGGCCGTAGTCACCAAAACAGCATAGTACTGGTATAAAAACAGGCACATACACCAATGGAACAGAGAACCCAGAAAGAAAACCAAATACTTATAGCCAACTTACCTTCAACCAAACAAACAAAAACATAAAGTGGGGAAAGGACACCCTATTCAACACATGGTACTGGGATAATTGGCAAGCCACAAGTAGGAGAATGAAACTGGATCCTTATCTCTCACCTTATACAAAAATCAACTCAAGATGAATCAAGGACTTAAATCTAAGACATGAAACTATAAAAGTTCTAGAAGATAACATCAGAAAAACCCTTCTTGACATTGGCTTAGGCAAGGGTTTCATGACCAAGAACCCAAAAGCAAATGCAATAAAAACAAAGATAAGTAGTTGGGACTTAATTAAACTAAAGAGCTTTTGCATGGCAAAAGGAACAGTCAGCAGAGTAAACAGACAACTCACAGAGTGGGAGAAAATCTTCACAATCTATACATCTGACAGAAGACTAACATCTAGAATCTACAATGAACTCAAACAAATTAGCAAGAAAAAACCAAACAATCCCATCAAAAAGTGGGCTAAGGACATGAAGACAGGTCTCAAAAGAAGATATATGAATGGCCAACAAACATATGAAAAAATGCTCAACATCACTAATGATCAGGAAAATGCAAATCAAAACCACAATGTGATATCACCTTACTCCTACAAGAATGGCCATAATCAAAAAATTTAAAAAAATAGATGTTAGCGTAGATATGGTGGAAAGGGAACACTTCTACACTGCTGATGGGAACGTAAACTAGTACAACCACTATGGAAAACATTGCGGAGATTCCTTAAATAACTAAAATTAGAACTACCATTTGATCCAGCAATTCCACTACTAGGTGGCTATCCAGAGGAAAGGAAGTCATTATATAAAAAAAGATACTTGCACACACGTTTATAGCAGCACAATCTGCAATTGCAAAAATGTGGAACCAACCCAAACGCCCATCAATCAATGAGCGGATAAAGAAGCTGTGGTATATATATATGATGGAATACTACTTAGTCATAAAAAGGAATGAATTAATGGCATTCACAGCAACCTGAATAGGATTATTCTTTTTTTTTTTTTTTTTGTGAGACATAGTCTTGCGCTCTATCACGAGGCTGAAGTGCAGTGGCGCGATCTCAGCTCACTGCAACCTCCGCCTCCCGGGTTCAAGTGATTCCCCTGCCTCAGCCTCCCAAGTAGCTGGGATTACAGGCACATGCCACCACGCCTGGTTAATTTTTTGTATTTTAGTAGAGATGGGGTTTCACCATGTTGACCAAGATGGTCTCAATCTCCTGACCTTATGATCCGCCTGCCTTGGCTGCCCAAAGTGCTGGGATTATAGGCGTGAGCCACCGCACCTGGCCTGGAGTTTACTATTCTAAGTGAAGTAACCCAGGAATGGAAAACCAAACATCGTATGTTCTCACTCAAAAGTGGGAGCTAAGCTGTGAGGACGCAAAGGAATAAGAATGACATAATAGGCCGGGTGCCGTGGCTAATACAGTGAAACTCTGTCTCTACTAAAAATACAAAAAATTAGCTGGGCGTGATGGCAGGTGCCTGTAGTCCCAGCTACTTGGGAGGCTGAGGCAGGAGAATGGCATGAACCCGGGAGGCAGAGCTTAAAGTGAGCAGAGATCGAGCCACTGCACTCCAGCCTGAGTGACACAGCAAGACTCTGTCTCAAAAAAATAAATAAGCAAATAAAAAAGAATGACACAATAAGCTGGATGTGTTGGCTCACACCTGTAATCCCAACACTTTGGGAGGCTGAGGAGGGTGGATCACTAGAGGTCAGGAGTTCGAGACCAGCCTGGCCAACATGGTGAAACCGCATCTCTACTAAAAATATAAAAGTTTGCGGGGCATGGTGGCATCTGCCTATAGTCCCAGCTACTCAGGAGGCTGAGGCAGAATTGCTTGAGACCAGGAGGCAGAGGCCACAGTGAATTGAGATTGTGCCACTGCACTCCAGCCTGGGCAACAGAGCATGACCCTGTCTCAAAAAATAAAAATAAACATGCACTTACCATATGACCCAGCAATTGTACTCTTGTGCACTTATCCTAGAGAAAAAAAAACAGGTTCACACAAAAGTCTGTACACTTGTGTTCATAGCTGCTTGATTCACAGCTAAAAACTAGAAACAACTCAAACGTCCTTCAATGAGTGAACAGTTGAATATACCTGTATTAGTCCATTTTCACACTGCTGATAAAGACATACCCGAGACTGAGAAGAAAAAGAGGTTTAATGGACTTACAGTTCCACATGGCTGGGGAGGCCTCACAATCATGGTGGAAGGCAAGGAGGAGCAAGTCACATTTTACATGGATGGCAGCAGGCAAAGAAAGAACTTGTGCAGGGAAACTTTTTAAAATTATCAGATCTTGTGAGGCTCATTCACTATCTGGAGAACAGCACAGGAAGAACCCACCTCCATAATTCAATCACCTCCCACCCAGTTCCTCCCACAACACATGGGAATTGTGAGTTACAATTCAAGATGACAAGATGAGATTTGGGTGGGGACACAGCCAAACCATATTAATACTGTAGTACATCTACATTATGGAATGCCACTCAGTAATAAAAAGGAACTACTGATACAAGTAACAGTTTGGATGTATCTCAAGGGATTATGCTGAATGAGTCAATCTCCAAAAGTTACATACTGTATAATTACAATAATTACATTTATGTAACGTTCTTGATATAACAAAATTTTGGAAACAGAGAGTAGATTGGGTGGGGCTGCAAAGGGAAGTTGTGGTTATAAAAGGGCAACTGGAGGGACCCTTGTGATGATAGACCTGGGCTGTACCTTGACTGTAGCGGTGGATACAAGAATCCACACACCTGATAACAATATATAACTAAATACACACAGAGAACACTAATACAAAATGAGGAATCTGAATGAGATCAATGGATTGTGTGAATGTCAATTACCTGGCTGTGATACTGTACTAGTTTTGCAAGATGCTACCACTAGGAAGACTGGGTACAGGGTACACAGAATCTCTATTCTTACAGTTGCATGGGAATCCACAATTACCTCACAAAGTTGAATAACCATCTTTTTTTTTCATCTGTGATGGAACAAGCAGGCAATATTCTACATTGTTTTAACAAATAAAGCAAACTATGTACCACTGTTCTGGTAGTAAAACCCTTTAACCATAATAAATGCCAACACGTAGCAAATGCTTCGCTGTGCTAAACACCTTATCTCGTGTAATCTGCTCAACGGCCCTAAGATTAGGGAGACACTGCTATCATTCCTAGTTCACAGAGGAGGGTCGGACGCAAAGAGGTGAAGTGACTTCCTGGAGCCACCTGACCAAAGACTGGAACCAAGATTCTAAGAGGCACACGAAGTCCTTCTGGTATAAATTTGTGTCATTCTATTTGTTATGTTCAGCTGTGCTAACCCTAAAAATTAAAAACTGCCATCAAGCATACAGAATGGGCGTTAGTAACACCCGTGTTAGCACGGTGATAGTGAATCACATAATTTTAAGGAGTTAGAAGGTCCTTTAGACATTACGCAGCCCACTGCCCTCATTTTTACAGAATGGGAATCAGGTGAAGTGACCTGTACGGGTGAGTCGCTGCTCAGAGCCCGCACATTTAAAACTGTATTTCGGTTCAGTACTCGAGAAAAGGGCACAGACTGATAAATGGTGGCAAAGACCGAGCTGTCTGGTTCATCCGGTACCCAATGCCGGGTCCAGTACAGAGCAGGCGCTCGATATTTACAAGACGAATCAATGACTGAATGAATAGCACCGCCAGGAGCCCCACAAAAGAAGTCCAGAAGACTACGGGCTGTCAGTCTTCGCTGTGACAAAGAGCCTCCGTGAGGACCGAGGACTAGGGACGGACAGGGAGCGCCCTTCCAGTGGACGCTCGACTCGGCTGGGGCCGGGACGGAGACGGTGGGTGCCCGGGCCCTCTCCTTCCCGCGGGCCGCGTGCAGGGCCGAGCGGGAGCGGGGGCGGGACGAGGCGGGGGCGGGGCCGAAGCCGAGCCGGGAGAAAGAAGCCGCTGGGCCCACCCAAACAAGCATTTTCACCGTAATCCCGCCCTCAAAGTTTCTCCCGCGGCCCCATATCCGCATGGCGGTGAAGGTCGAAGATGCGCGACCTAAACGGCCAGGTTTTCGGTCAGCCCAGCGTTGGCGAAGGGCGAGGGCGGAACACAACGACCAGCCTACTACCGCCCGGTTAGGGGCCTAGCTCCTCTACTCACAGCGTTGGAAGGAGGGAGCCAGCCCCCGTCCGCGCGTCTGCGGCGCACTGGCCTGCCCTTCGCCCTCCGCCGCGCGCGCCCATTGGCCACCGCAGCCTCTCCCACATGGGGCGAAGGCGCGCACTTCATTGGCCCCCGCGTGAGGGGCGGGGCTAGAGGACGCCGGTCTCCGGCCGTGGAGGGTCAAGTGGCGGCTTCTGAACGCTGAGGCAGGGGAGCGTAGGGGATGGTGCCGGCGCTGCGTTATTTGGTTGGTGCCTGCGGACGGGCCCGCGGGTGTTTCGCCGGGAGCTTCCTTGGGGCGTGCGGGTCGGCGTCTGGGAGGCCCCGACCGCTGTGTGGAGGTGGCCACAGCGCCAGCACCAGGTGAGTGACCGCTGGTCCTCCCCGCCGCCTGCACTGCTGCCTCTCGCAGAGGCACCTGGTGGTGGACCTGTGCCCCTGTTCCTATTTCCCTGTCCCGGGGTGAGAGCAGGTTGGGGTCTTGTGGCGCTCCAACCTCGGATCCCAGGAGCTACCAACCTGCAGGTTCATTCGTTGTATTTACGGGCTGGAGGAAAGGCAGTGTATAGAGTAGAGGTCAAGAGTGGCTCTGGCTTTGAGCAACCCGTTCACTTGCTGTTGAACTCTGGGCTAGTTAACCTCCTTAAGAGCTCAGATGTGAATGGGACCTTAGCCTCTCCTGTAGGTAGTCGTTTGAAGGATAAAAGGACCTAGCACACAGTGTAAGCAATCAAATATGCTGTTTATTAGCTGGCGTCTTTGGCGTTGCTTGGAAGATCTGAATACAGTCTTAAATCAGTTCCTGGCACACCCCGCATAGAGTTTCCCCCATCGGAAGCAGCTCTTATGCTAATCAAAGCCCGCAGAATTCAGTGTCCTATGATTTATAGTTTGGACGTGACTTTCGAAACCACTGTCTTTCTCTGCCCTCTGTAGAAGAAACAGTTTGTGTGAAGGCTGTAAGGCTTGGAGAGGTTTTGGCTATTTTGAGGACTAGAAGGTGGGCCATATGAGTGTGACTGAAGCTTAGTGGAAGACAGATGGTGTGGAATGACCCGGGAGAAGGACTACATCACAGCAAGGTTTTTATTTTATTTTAACCACACGTTAACTTTTATTCTAAGAGCCACGGGAAACTATTTAAAAGGGTTTTAAGAAGAGGCTACACTTTGGGAGGCCGAGGCGGGCGGATCGCCTGAGGTCAGAAGTTGGAGACCAGCCTAACCAACATGGCAAAACCCCGTCTCTACTAAAAATATTTAAAAAATTAGCCTGGCGTGTTGGTGGGCCCCTGTAATCCCAGTTACTCGGGAGCCTTAGGCAGGAGAATCGCTCGAACGTGGGAGGCGGAGGTTGCAGTGAGTCGAGATCGCGCCATTGCACTCTAGCCTGGGCAACAGAGCGAGACTCTGTCCCGCAAAAAAAGAAAGAAAGAAAGAAGAGACTAGCGATTAAATGTTGATGTTGTAAAAGTTGACTGGCTGCTGCGTGTTGGTGGATGAGGGGAGTAGAGTAGGAGACCAGTAATAGTGATTGTGATTTTTTGTGGGGCATGTAGACAGTTCTTTTGGGAAGCTTTTCTTAAGGAAAGAAAAGTAGGGCTAGTGAAAGTTTTGTTTATACTTAAAATGTTTTTTAAAACAATTTTTGGAGTCAGGGTCTCACTCTGTTGCCAAGGCTGGTTTGCAGTGGCACAATCATAACGCAGCCTCCACCCTCTTGGGCTCAAGTGATCCTCCCGCCTCAGCCCCCCTCCCCAACTCTTCCTGCCCTCCAGAAGCTGGGACCACAGGCAGCTAATTGTTTTCCTATTTTTTGTAGAGACGTCGCCCAGGCTGGTCTCGAACCCCTGACCTCAAGTGAACCTCCCTCCTCGGCCCCCCAAAGGGCTGACAGTACAGGTGTAAGCCACTGTGCCTGACCTATACTTTTATTCTGAAATAATTATAGATTCATTGGAAGTTGCAAAAATAGTACAGGCCAAGCATGGTGACTCAGGCCTGTAATCCCAGTGCTTTGGGAGGCTGAGGCAGGAGGATCACTTGAGCCCAGGAGTTTGAGACCAGCCTGGGCAAAATATGAGATCCCATCTCTACAAAATAAAAAATAAAATTAAATAAACAGTACAAAGAGATCCCATGTACCCTTCACCCCATTTACCCTAATGAAAACGTCTTATATAACTGTAGTACAATATCAAAACCAGGAAATTGATATTGGCAAAATCCATGGACATTGTTCAGCTTTCATCAGTTTTACATGTATTCGTGTGTGTGTGTGTGTGTGTGTGTGTGTGTAGTTCTATGCAGTTTAATCATATGTATTAATTTGTGTAACTACCACCTCAATTAAGATATGAAAATGTGGCCAGGCATGGTGGCTCAGGCCTATAATCCCAGCACTTTAGGAGGCCGAGTTGGGAGGATCGGTTGAGCCTGAGTTGGAGACTAGCCTGGGCAACAAAGGGAGACAGCAAAACCCCTGCTCTACACAAAAATTAAAAAATAATTAGCCAGGTGTGGTGGCTTGCTCCTGTAGTCCTTGTGGAGCTGAGGCAGGAGGATCACCTGAGCCCAGGAGGTTGAAGGTGTGGTGACCTATGGTTACACCACTGCAATGAAGCGTGGACAACAGAGCAAGACTCTCTTAAAAAAAAAAAAAAAAAAAAGGTGATATAAAAATATTCTGTTGCCACAAGGTTATCTGTTGTGTTACCTATCTCTTTATATTCACACCTTCCTCTCCATTATTCCTAACTCTTGGCAACTGTGAATCTAAATTTTTTTTTTTTTTTTTTTTACAGTGTCTCGCTCTGTCACCCAGGCTAGAGTGCAATGGCATGATCACGCCTCTTTGCAACCTCTGTCTCCTGGGTTGAAGTGATTCTCCTGCCTCAGCCTCCCGAGTAGCTGGGATTACAGGCATGTGCCACCACACCCGGCTAATTTTGTATTTTGAGTAGCGATGGGGTTTCACCATGTTGGCCAGGCTGGTCTCAAAACTCACCTCAGGTGATCCATCCGCCTCAGCCTCCCAAAGTGTTAGGGTTATAGGCATGAGCCACTGCACCCTGCCTGAAATTTTTTATATCACCAAATATTTACTATAAAACTTTTAGAAAAAGGACAAAATCTTTGGACCTTGAGATGACATCAAAAGCATGATCTCTAAAAGAAAAAAATGGACAAAATGGATTTCATCAAAATGAAAAACTTTTGCTCTGCAAAAGACTGTTAAGAGGATGAAAAAACTACCAAGAGATTGGGAAAAAATACCAGCAACTGCATATCTCCCAAAGGACTATTACATAAAATACATAAAGAACTCTCAAAACAAGTCTTTGGAGACCGGCTTTTTTTGCACAGCATAATGTCCTTAAGATACATCCAAGGTGTCACCTGTATTGATAGCGGGTTTTTCAAAATTGTTGAATAGAATTCCATGGTATGGATACATCACAGTTTGTTTAACCATTTAACATTAGTTGAAAAACATCTGAGCTGCTTCCAGTTTTTGGCTATTATGAATAAAGCTACTATGAACATTCATGTTCAGGCGTTTGTATGAACATAAGTTTTCATTTCTCTAGAATAAATGCCCAAAATGCAGTTGCTGAGTCATGTAGTAAGTCCATGTTTAGTTTTTTTTTTTTAAGAAACTGCCATACTCTTTCAGAGTGGCTGTATTATTTTACATTCCCACCAGCTATGTGTGAGTAATCCAGTTTCCCTTCATTCTCACCAGCATTTGAGGTTATCACTTTTTAAATTTTAGCCATTCTGATAGAGATGTAGTGATATTGTGGTTTTTATTTACATTTCTCTGATGCAATGGTGTTTGAACAATGCAGTGACTGATGGTATTGAACATCTTTTCATGTGCTTCTTTGCCATCTGTGTATCTGTCTTGTTTGATGAAATGTTTGTTAATATCTTTTGCCCACTTTTTGGTTTTTTTTTTTTGGAGAAGGAGTTCCACTCTTGTTGCCCAGGCTGGAGTGCAGTGGCGTGATCTCGGCTCACCACAACCTCTGCCTGCTGGATTCAAGCGATTTTCCTGCCTCAGCCTCCCGAGCAGCTGGGATTACAGGCATGCGCCACCATTCCTGGCTAATTTTGTATTTTTGGCAGAAATGGGGTTTCTCCATGTTGGCATGGCTGGTCTCAAACTCCCGACCTCAGGTGATCTGCCCGCTGTGGTCTCCCAAAGTACTGGGATTAAAGGCGTGAGCCATCGTGCCTGGCCTGCCTATTTTCTAAATGGCTTGTTTCGAGAGTTCTTTTATGTATGAGTCCTTTGGGAGATATGCAGTTCCTAGTATTTTTTTCCCAATCTCTTAGTTTTTTTATCCTCTTAACAGAGTCCTTTGCAGAGCAAAAGTTTTACGTTTTAATAAAGTCCATTTTATCTATTTTTTTCTTTTATGGATCGTGTTTTTGATGTCAACTCTAAGTTCCAAGATCTTGTCCTATTTTTTCCTGAAAATTTTAAAGTGAATATTTGGTGATATAAAAAATTTCGTGTTAATGTTTTTAACTATAATGGTAGTGTGTGTTTTTAGAGATGCCTTTTAGAAATAACATTGAAATATTTACAGATGAAATAATGTGATGTTTAATATTTGCACCAAAATAGTATACTACAGGAGAGGATGAAATAGAGTTTAGAAGAAGCAAGATTTGCTGTGAGTTGATAATTAGTGAAGCTGGGTGATGTATATATGGGGCTTCATTGAACTATTTTGTCTAACTTTGTGTAGGTATGAACTTTTCCATAAAAAGATTAAGAAAATTATCTGTTAAACCATTCATTGGGGTTAACTTGAGATTAAGTGAGTTGTAGAGAAAGATGTCCCTTTCAGCCTCCATGGTTAGCATAGCCTGCAACTGTCCTCCAGTGTTCATCTATGACTGTTGTTCTGTTCATCTTTCTCCGTAGTGGATGCTTGGAGATTTGTGCTTTAGTTTGTGAAACATATTTCAATGATTTTGTGTCACTGGATAAAACAGTGATTCTTCAGATTTGAGGAGGGGGAGTAAAGGGTGGCACATGTAGTTGGAAAAAGCATATTCAGTATGATAGTTTTATGTTTGAAAATAAGAAGAGTTTATTGATGGTTGTAATATAATCTGCAAAAACAATATATTGGCTGGGAATCTGTACCAAGGTAATAATTCTAAGTGGAAGGTCTACCTCCCCAAAAGCTTTTGTGTTATAGTTATCAAAAGGCAGCAAGGGGCCATGTGCAGTGGCTCATGCCTGTATTCCCAGCATTTGGGAAGGCCGAGGCAATTGGATCACCTGAGGTCAGGAGTTTGAGACCAGCCTGACCAACATGGTGAAACCTCGTCTCTACTAAAAATACAAAAACTACCCCAGCATGGTGGTGTTCACCTATAATCTCAGCTACTAGGGAGGCTGAGGCAGGAGAACCGCTTGAACCTGGGAGTGGGAAGTTGCAGTGAGCTGAGATCATGCCGCTCCACTCCAGTGTGGGCAACAGACTGAGACCCTGACTCTAAAATTTTTTTAAACATTTTCAGTATAAACAAAACTTACACTAGCCCTGCTTTTTCTTACCTTAAGAAAAGCTTCCCAAAAGAACTGTCTACATGACTCACAAGAAATTACAATCACTATTACTGGTCTCCCACTCTACTGCCCCCATCCACCAACACACAGCAGCCAGAGTCAACTTTTAGAACATCAACATTCAATCACTAGCCTCCGTCTAAAAAAAAAAAAAAAAAAAAACCAAAAAACAAAAACAAAAAACCCAGAAAACAAAAGGCAGCAAGGATGAGAACATTATTATGGAAGTCAAAACCACCTGTGTAAGTGCCAAGGTTATGCTACCTTTTACAGAAAAGTGAGGCTTGAAGGCAAAGCAAAGTATCATAGTTGAACTTGAAAGTAAGAAACAAAAACAGTGTGAAAGTTGTCTCTCTTATACACACACTGCCATGTAATTGATGTAGATATCAACTTGATAAATTAAAAAAATACAGCCAGGTACGGTGGCTTATGCCTGTAATCCCAGCATTTTGGGAGGCCAAGGCGGGCGGATCACGAGGTCAAGAGATCAAGACCATCCTGGCCAACATGGTGAAACCCGTCTCTACTAAACATACAAAAATTAGCTGGGCCTAGTGGCGCACACCTGTAGTCCCAGCTACTCAAGAGGCTGAGGCAGGAGAATCACTTGAACCCAGGAGCTGGAGGTTGCAATGAGCCGAGATTATGCCACTGCACTCCAACCTGGTGACAGAGCTAGACTCCGTCTCATCAAAAAACAAACAAACAAACAAAAAAACAGTCGGTCAAAACAGTCGGTCCTCGTTTTTGTGGGTTCTGCATCTGCAGATTCAACCAACTATGGATCAAAATATTTGGAAAAAACTATAAAAAATAACACAATTTAAAATACAGTATAACAACTATTCACATAGCACATACATGGTACTATGTACTATAAGTAATCCAGAGATGACTTAAAGTATATTGGAGAATGTGTGTAGATTATATGCAAATACTGTGCCATTTCATATAAAAGACTTGAACATATGTGGATTTCCCATAGTATCCATGGGAGTCCCGAAACCAATCCCTTGTGGGTATTGAGGGATGACTATGTATAAAATACGATTAAGTAATACACATACAAATATCTTAAGTATTTGTGAATGTTTTGAACACCTACGTTAGTGGAAGATTATAGAGGTTTTGAAAAATAAAAAGCCTATCTTAACAATAGTTATTCTTCTGGAATTCTTCAAAGCCAGGATATTTTAGAATCCATAAAACATCTGTTTATTGTGACAGTTGTGTAAAGGGTCAATGGCTGTAAATCAGTGAAGTAACTCTAGTGGAATGTGAATGTAGTAGATAAAAGATACCTTTTATCTACTGAACTTATGTTTTTAAAAACCTGTTTAAAGGCTTGGACTTCCAAATACACTCTGATCATATTAGTAATTTTTTAGTTGACCACTGTAAGCATTTGCCAATAACTAGTATTAATGTAGTGGACCCAGAATCCCATTTTGCTTGTGCTGCTCTTTTACACCCTCTCTTTTTAAATGAGGTGTCATTCACCATCCTTGACAACCATTTTATCCAATCTAAAGCTGCTGCAGGAGAACCACCTGCTGAGCATCACCTGGAGGTTCTCCCTGTTTAAGTTATGAGGCTTATGCTCTGACCGAGGGAACTTTATCCACTTATGACCCCCAAATTAATTTAAGATGTAGGATTTGATTTATCAAGCTTACATGTTAGTTCCTAGTTGTCCAGGTATCTGTTTCTGGTTCCAGATATAGCCATAGATGTGGTAAAAATTCTAATCAAATTTATGTGCTTTGCTAAGGATTTTGAAATTGAAACTTAGGTCACTTTTCAAAGAAAGGCCCTAATCTCTGAAATTTCCCTCTGTCTACTGTTCCTAGAAGATCCATATTTGTTGACCATCAGGTTAGTGTTAAAGGTAATCTTTTAAGCTTCTAATTGCAGAGTTATATAAATTATACATGCCGGTTCTAAATTTTGTAAATGGTTGTATAATCAGGGTTTGCCATGGCAAAGGTTGTGGTTCCTAAGCCCATTTCTGGACCAATTATTGCCCCAAGGTTTATTTTCTCAGAGTTGTTTCCTTCTCAAAGAAAAACATGTAAAAATTCTTGCACACTAAAGTGTTAAAGCTTTAATGTGCTAACGCATTGTCAAGAATACTACATTGGAATTTTAAAAGGATAAGTAGTAGAAGCATGACTATGCTTAACACAAAGTATACTCATGCACTGCATAACAACGTTTTGGTCAACCACAGACTGCATGTACAATGGTGATACCAAAGATTATAATACCTGTTTTTTTCTGTACCTTTTTTTATATTTACACATTTTTAGATGCACAGATACTTACCATTGTGTTACAGTTGCCTGCAATATTCAATATAGTAACCTGCTGTACAGGCTTGTAGTCTAGGAGCAATAGGCTATACCATATAACCTAGGTGTACAGTAAGCTATATCATCTAGGTTTGTGTAAGTACATTCTGTGGTGTTGCACAATGAAATCACCTACCAATGCATTTCTTAGAACCTATCTCTATGGTTAAGCAATGCATGACTGCAGTCACTTATGTAACCAGCCCGGCTGCTGTGCTATGGAAATATAGAGCAGATTGGGCAACCAGCTATCCTGCCTGC